CCTTCTGCCCATTTTAGCAACCTGAGACAAGCAACGTTTGCTAAACAAGCAGGTGGGCACCAACGTGGAAATCTTTGAGTAATCTGACATTGTTTGGAAGAGCTCCTGAAAGACCTTGGTCTTTCCAGGTAACAAGTCAGTATTCTCACATGGAAGGTGCAGAGTCCAGCTTAAGCTCCTCTGTAATCAAATCTAAGAAAAACTAAATGATAGATTGCTTGTTTTGCTTAAAATAAAGAAATTTCTGCAAAAACACCATGTGGGGTCTAAGTTTCCGCTTGTCCTCACAGTGAATTCATTCCCAGAACAGCATTCCAGAAGGACATGGATTACTCCTAATTGTCAGGCTGAAATTCAGGGCACTAAACTATCAGTTTTCACAGAAAAGTAGTATAAAAGAACTGGTTCCTACACGTCTGTGTGAGGGCTATACAGAGCCTAATAAAAGCAATTTTGCAGTCCAAGGAGGATGGAATCTGATTGATGTGAGTGAGGCCCTTGAGAAATCTAGGAATGAGCAACCAAAGCAAGAAAACGACTGCAGGACTTTCAGTCAAAGAAAAGGAGAAGAAATTGATCTAAACAGAACCTTCTAGAGCTGATGAACAGACAGGTTTCTTAAGGGATTATGAATAATCACAGCAGTTCAGCCAAAATGCCAACACAATATTGCTTGTGGGCCCCTCAGTCACTACCAGGTTTGTTCTGAAGCTTGCAAGCCAGAGCTCAAATTATCTTTTGGTTAAGAAAATGCAACAGATATAGGACTGAGCAAGACCTCAACAGGCAAAAGAGCGTGAAATTGTTGAGAGAGAGCGGGACAGGACTGAGGGTTAGCAAGATCCTGCTGCTTTTTTCTGATGATGTCTGATGAGCTCTTTTCAAAGCTGATCCTGAGCAGAACCTTCAAAAGAATGAGATGGGAGTCCCTCTCTGGTCTTCCATTACAAAAAAATAATAGTAAATACAGTAGAAATGTGCAGCAGTCTGAGACAGAGACCCCTTTAAGCGTTCATCTTTGACAAACAACAGTCATCTTAATGGGGGGAAACCAAGGTTTCATTCTTGATCCTGGAAAAGCATTCATTCGCACAACAATGAAAGAACTGTAACACTGAGAAATGGAAAACACGTTCTATCCCAAACTCTAAGTCCACTAACAACTGGAAATAAAAACAGCTCTGCATGCACAGCAGATGTGGGACAGGCCCTATTTTGGTACTGCCAACAAGAAACAAGTGAAACCGCCACACTCATATTCTCCTCATACATACTGTTTGTAGTGAAGCTACAATCCTATCCAAAAGCCTTTAGTCTATTTTTGTGCAGAACAGTAGGACAATTTGTGGGAATGCTCCCCTTTCTTCAATACCTTGCTTAAATCCAACCTCCCAAACCCCTGAATTCCTTCTGGACACCCATCATCTAGAGTGGCTTCAACCAGCATGTAATCCTAAAGTTCTCCCCTGGCTCCCCCACTCAGCAGGTGAGCTCTCTATGCCAGGCTTTATTTTAAAATTATTCTGTTCATGTACTCAGTTAATAAGTTAAAAACTCAGTTAAAAACTCATGTGTTAGTAAATAAAAAGCTCTTCAGCTCACTGGGGATTGTAACTAAAAGGAAAATGCCAAAAGTTTTAAGAACTGCTAGTAACTATCACTCCCTCCGCTGCCTTTCAGCCTTCATTTCACAAGATCTCAGAGCTCCTTACAAATATAACTACACAGCCTGCTCTCCCAGCAGTGAAATGCAGCCAGTCCTGGGGTGAAATGTGGCTGCTCGAGGACACAGCATCTCCTCCTGCTCAGCCCAATGAGCACCCAAACGCTTGCTGTATGCACCCCAACAATTCTGCCAGAGTAGGTGGCTTGTTGCTTCCATGGTCAGAATCACACAGAATGGCCAGGGTTGGCATTGCAATGAATTGCCACACGTGGCAGGAAGCGAGGAGAAGAGGTACAAACCATTTAATGGCTCTACCCGAGTAATCGCATGCCCTGCAGCTCTTAGTAGAAACTGCTCTTTGAGAGGTGGGTTGCAAGTTTTAATCTGAAATCTTCATTATCAATGGCAGCACAACCCCTGTTTCTTGGTGGGGAGATTCAGTTTTGATCACAAGCAAAGGATGCCACCTACTGAATCCCTGCCACCACGATTGCACGCTCTGACCCTCTCAGCTCGAGACCTCTGGCAGGATCACAAGGCAGGCTGCAGGACCAAAAGGAATCCCGAGGAAAAGCAGAAAACAGGCTTGGAAAAACAAAGCTTTTCTCACTGCTGCTCTCCCCACAAGCCACAGATGTATTACTCACTGAACATCTGCACAACCACCATAATTTCTAATTTTGCAACACTGACAACCTT